CTATCTAATTTCTCTGGCCAGTGTTTCAAGAACTATGTTAAATAGAAGTGGTGAAAGAGGGAATTCCTCCTGTGCCAAGCCCTCACTTGGTGCCAGCACCTCCCTTCCCCCTGTCCATCTTCCATGGAGAAGCCTGAGCCAAGCGTGACTCGGGGAAGCTTTTCAGCACTATCCCTGGGTTCAGCCAGCCACTTTCTTTCTCGACTACAGCAAACACCATCTCAACCATCTTAGCCTAGAGAATCAGCCTGAGGGGGCTGGGTGAAAAAATTGACCCAGTGAGCAAGGAACAGCTTCTAGCCAGAAACCCCTGCTCTGAGAGCCCATCTTTCTTCATCTTTCCCATTGATGGCTTTCAGCTTGACCCTTCCATCTCCCATGGGGGCAGAATTCTACGAGCACAATTCAAGGATCTTTCCCTCCGTTTTACATTGCTAATAATGGATGTTAATCTTGAATCCTTCAGCATCTCTTCCACTGAATTAGAATGGCTTTCTCATAGTTTATTTTAGAAAGATGTTCAATATACTAAAGCAAAAAAAAAAAAAAAAAAGAGGGCATTCCTGTCTTGTTCCAGTTTTTAGAGGGAATGTCTTTAATTTTTCTCCATTAGAATGATGTTGACCTGGGGTTTGGCATAGATAGCCTTTTTGATGTTGAGATATGTTGCTGATATCCCTAATTTTTCTAGTGTTTTGAGCATGAAGGGGTGCTGCATTTTGTCAAATGCTTTTTAAATACTTGGGAAACCACTTAATTAAAGAGGTGAAAGATCTATATAATGACAATTATAGAACCCTAAAGAAAGAAATCAAAAAAAGACCTTAGAGGATGGAAAGATCTACCTTGCTCTTGGATAGGCAGAATTAATATTATCAAAATGACCATACTACCAAAAGCACTATACAGATTTAATGCAATTGCAACCCAAATCCCAATGATATTCCTCATAGAAATAGAAAAAGCAGTCAAGAAATTCATCTGGAAAAAGAAGAGACCCAGAATAGCTAAAACAATCCTTAGCAGGAAGAGTGAAGCAGGAGGCATCACTATACCAGAACTTACACTATACTATAGAGCAATAGTAATAAAAACACCATGGTGTTGACACCAAAATAGAATGGTAGACCAAAGGTACAGAATAGAGGACACAGAGACAAATCTACACAAATACAGTTATCTCATACATTGCTGGTAGGACTGCAAATTGGTGCAGCCAATATGGAAAGTAGTTATGGCGATTCCTTGGAAAACTGGGAATGGAACCGCTATTTGACCCAGATATCTGTCTATACCCAAAGGACTTAAAAACAGCATATTATAGGGACATAGACACATAAATGTTTATAGCAGCACAATTCACAATAGCTAAACTGTGGAACCAACCTAAAAGCCCTTCAATAGATGAATGGATTAAAAAAATGTGGCAATGGAATATTACTCAATAATAAAAGAGAAAATAAAATCATGGCATTTGCAGGTAAATAGATGGAGTTAGAGAAGATAATGCTAAGTGAAGTTAGCCAATCCCAAAAAACCAAATGCCTTCTCTGATACAAGGAGTGTGATTCATAGTGGGGTAGGGAGAGGGAGCATGGGAGGAATAGATGAACTCTAGATAGGGCAGAGGGGTTGGAGGGGAAGGGAGGGGGCATGGGGTTAGAAATGATAGTGGAATGTGATGGACATTATTATTGAAAGTACGTGTATGAAGATAGGAATTGGTGTGAATACACGTTATATACAACCAGAGATATGAAACATTGTGCTCTATATGTGTAATAAGAATTGTAATGCATTCCACTGTCACATATAAATAAAAAAATTAATTAAAAAAATAAAAAAGTGAACAGTTGCTACAAGTACAAAAAATAAAAAAACAAAAGAAAAGAAAATGGCAGGGGAAAATGTCACCATCCCCATTTTTTATTTCAACCAGCAGTTCACTTAGTGGAGGACAGGTCTATCTGCAGAAACTGTAGGGGTCAGGAATACGTTTGTAAGCCTGGAGCTGGGGAATATTTTGTCAGGATGATTATGTAGGAGAGATTCCATGATTTCACGAAACTACCTAGAGCTAGCTCTTTTCTCAGCTGATTTAAAATGTGATAGAAAGCTTGTTCTTGGCAATAGGGGAAATGGTTGTAATGGTTTGTCAGAAATTTTATTGGGAAGACATCGAGGAGAATTAAGAAGGAGCAGAAAATAAATTTTTCTTCTTTTTATGGCTCAAGAAGAATTGTTTTTCATTTCCCCAACTCAACTAAGTTGGAATGAATTGAACTCAATGTACCTTTAATGTCAGGTACATAAAAACTCAATGAATATCAAAATTCAAATGATGAAACTGGAAATTCATATGTAGCAAAATGCAATTAAACCCTGTCTATTATCAAGGATTTAGGCACTAGTACAGAGACCCTACACGTAATAGAAAAAGTAGGCCCAAACTGCCACCATGTCACTTAGGAACTGACTTCCTTAACAAGACTCCTAAAATGCAGGAAGTAAAATCAAGAATCAATAAATGTATCAACCCAGGCTGGGGCCGTGGCTCAGCGGTAGAGTCACTGGGTTCCATCCTCAACACCACATAAAAATAAAGAATAAATACCATAACATTAAAAAAAATACCAACCTAGGTGTCCTTCACCAGATGAATGGATAAATATATGGTATATATACAATGGAATATAACTCAACCTTAAAGAATGAAATCATGGCATTTTTCAGTGAATGGATGGAACTGGAGACTATCATGCTAAGCAAAATAAGGCAGTTCCCTCAAACCAAAAGCCCAATGTTTTCTGTGATATGAAGATGCTAATTCACAATAAGGGGGTGAGGAGAGTTACTGAACAATAGAATTACTTTGGATCAGGCAGAGGGGAGTGAAGGGAATGAAGGGAGGTAAAGATAGTAATTGGTGTGAATTGGTATGGGGGTACAAAGCACAGTAAAATGAATCAGACATTATTACCCTATGTGCATATATGACTACACGACCGATGTGATTCTACATCATATACAACCAGAAGAAGGGGAAGTTATACTCCATTTATGTATAATGTGTTGAGGTGCGTTCTACTGTCATGTATAACTAATTAGAACAAATTAGAAAAAAGGAATCAATGAATGTGATGGAATCAAACTAAAAAGTTTCTTCACAGCAAAGGAAACATTCAAGAACATGAAGAGAGAGCCTACAGAATGGGAGAAAATCTTTTCCACCTGCACCTCAGATAGACTATTAATCTCCCAGGATATATAAAGAACTCAAAAAACTTAACACCCCAAAAAACAAATAACCCAATCAATAAATGGGCTAAGGAACTGAACAGACACTTCATAGAAGAAGAAATACAATTGATCAACAAATATATGAAAAAATGTTCAACATCTCTAGCAATTAGAGAAATGCAAATCAAAACTACACTGAGATTCCATCTCATTCCAGTCAGAATGACAATCATCAAGAATACAGGCAACAATAAATGTTGGTGAGGATGTGGGGTAAAAGATACATTCATACATTGCTGGTAAAATTGCAAATTGTTGCAACCACTATGGAAAGCAATATGGAGATTCCTCAGAAAACTTGGAGTGGAACCACCATTTGACCAGTTATCCCACTCCTCGGTTTATACTCAAAGGACTTAAAATCAGTGTACTGTAGTGACACAGCCATATCAATGTTTATAGCAGCTCAATCCACAATAGCTTAACTAGAATCAACCTAGGTGCTAGTTCCATTCATCTGTTGAAGGGCAACAGATGAATGGATAAAGAAAATGTGGTATATATACATAATAGAATACTATTCAATCTTAAAGAAGAATGGAATTATGGCATTAGCCAGTAAATGGATGGAACTGGAAGCTATCATGCTAAGTGAAATAAGCCAATCCCAAAGAAAGGCCAAATGTTTTCTCTGATACGCAGATGCTAATTCACAATAAGTATGTTTGGGGGCTCAGGAAGAATAGAGGTACTTTGGATTAGACACAGGGAAATGAAGAAAGGGGAAGGGGTATAGAGGTAGGAATGATAGTAGAATGAATTGGACATTATTACCCTATGTGCATATGTAACTACATGACCTGTGTAACTCTACATCATGTACAACCAGAAGAATGAAAAGTTATATATTTATGTATGATGTGTCAAAATGCATTCTATTGTCATATATAACTAATTAGAACAAAAATAAAAAATTCAAATGATGGAAATTGTTTCCCTTTTTCCCAAAGTCACATGGATGAGCTAATTTTTTTTAATAAAGTCTAATTTTAGAACAGTACTTCTCTTACCTGGAGGAATCCAGGTGCACAGGTTTCCATTAAAGACAGTTATCAGATCCTCAGTCTTGCATTCTCCCTGCTCCTAAGAGGTGAGAAGGGAAGAGAGTAGGGGAGGGAGGTTAGTAGTGGAGAGAAGGAAAGAAAATTTAATTTGATCATCCAGTCTAAAGAAGTGTGACAGAAGGGGGAATGAGCCATCTATTTGGGATCAGGGGATGGGAGAACACAAATCAGAAGAAAAAATTTTGAAACAGGAAAGTAGAGCCATTAAAATTGGGTGAAGAGAAGAAGGTAGTTGCAATAGTTTTTTCTTTTTAGTAAAATGCATGTGACCTCCAGCATTGCCAAAGGAATATTAGTAAAATAAATAGTAATGAGGAACTCCAGGAGAGTTCTAGACTGGAGTATAAGCTTCATGGAACATTTATCCATGTTTTAACTGCTTGGGCTAACCACCAAAGTCAAGCTTCTTGCCTTCAACTAGACTATTAGCCACCTGAGGTGATTTAAGTTAACTCAAGGGAAATAACTTATCACATAATACGTTGTTGCTAGTTGGATAAAATATAGAGCCTGAAATCCTCAAGGAGAAAAAATAATAAAAGGAGCTCTTGACTTTTGCCTTTAATTTTGGAGCTATCTTAGAAGATACTTTAGTGTTTTAGAAAATGTAATAGAAACATTGCTATTATTTTCTAGCTTTGTGTGGCTCGACTACTGGATAATAAAAATCCATCTCTGGACACCATTAAGATGCAAGTCTACTTTGATATGAATTACACAAGTCGAGGTAACATTATCTATCTACTTCAATGCTTTTAAAAGTTATGTTGTATTTCAGGTGAGAAAGTTTCATTGGTTGACAATAAATTTAAATGTTTATGAAATTATTTTCCTTGTCAGTCTTTTGAAATGTTTTCCAACTTTGATGTATTAAGAAGTTTTCTGTCACTATTAAAATTATCTGAGATAACTTATACAAAGAAAAGATTTCCTTTGACTCACAGATTTAAGGTTTCAGTCCAAGATTGGTTGATCCAGTTTCTTTAGGCCTTTGGTGGCCTATCATGGTGGGGACATGTGACTCTAGAACAAAACCATTCACCTCATTGGTTGGCCAGTGAAAGAGTGGAAAAGAGTGGGGTCCCACAGTGCCCTCCAGGGCATGCTTTCTTTGAGCCCAAAGACCTTTCACTAATCCTTTTAAAGGTTGTACCACCTTCCAATAATACCATGGTCTAGAGACAAAGCCTTCAAAACTAAGTACTTTTGTATACAAACTATAATCTTTGAAGGATAATAATGATGAACATGCTAAATGAAAAAAATACCAGTGGCTTTTGTAAGTGTTAAAAGTCAATTTAAATTTTTATGCTCCTAAAAATTATTTCTCAGTCTATTGGTTTTTAACCTTCATAGCACTGATACATTATAATTAGAAATGAAAGCATCCAACTCATTGAAGTTAAGTTTTTAAAATTTGTATATTTTCTTATTCCTAGTTTATCATCTCATAATTCCTAAATTATGTAACTACCTGAAAATGAAAGAAATTGTGGGAAATTTAAATTCAGAATTTTATCATAATATAAATGAAAGTGCATGCATCAAAGACAAGTTGGGAATGAGAAAAAGGAAAATAAATTTCTCTGTTTTTTTCTTGCTGTAATGAATTCATTATTAACTATTTTTTTTGTCTCTAGGCATTAGTGCTTTAGTTATCCTACATAACTAATTATATATCTTGCTTTTTTGCTTAATAATAATGAATTTTGGGCTGGGGCTGTAGCTCAGTGGCAGAGCGCTTGCCTAGCAGGTCTGAGGTAATGGGTTTGATCTTTAGCACCATGTAAACATAAATAAAGGCATTCTGTTCATCTACACATACAAAAACAATTTTAAAATAATAATGAAATTTAAAGCAATAAAATAATCATGGAATTGAGGAAATTTAATATATGTATTTTTTATTTGCAAAAAAAGCTTTCAGTTTCTTTTGTGGTAAGATTTGGTATGAAGTGTGCATGATTGAAATGTGAATCATTGCCCTTGTAATAGTAATACAGGATGTCTTATTGAGTCAGTGGCAAGAATTGTATTGCTGGTAAAGATGGTCTTTTGCCTCAATTATGCTTTTACCTTAGCACAGCAAAGGAAGAAAGAGGAGAGACACAGTTTTTGATGTAATATCATATTATCAGTAATATTATTCAGAGAAAAATTTATCTGGAACTAAAATAGAAATACACATACTCTACCACTGAGCTACAACCCCAGCCCTTTTGTGTGTTTTGATAAAGTACTCTATTTAAATCACTGTATACACATTTCCCACTGGATTTTTGTCTTGAGGTTACTTATTCACTGTTTTTAATTTCATTTTTACATCTTAAGAAAGTATTTGTTTTTAAACAGTACAGTTGCCATACTTAAGCAGTTTTTCTCTCATCCTCAAATGAGAATCCTAAATATCAAATGTATGCAATGTTATCATTTGCCAATTTTAGAAGAATTTCTTGAAGAACATCACCGGGTCCTGGAGTCTAGATTAGGCTCTGTTAGCAGAGAAATTACAGATAATAGAGCATGTGCTAGAGAAGAATTGGAAAGCCTTTACAGGAAGATTGTCAGCTATGTGTTGCTACGCTCTGGGCTTGGATCCCCTACAGACATCAAGATTGTCAGAGAGGCAACAGGTAAAAAATATAAGTGATTTCCATTGTATACGTGAGCATACATGATCATTATATTTTATAAAATGTGTTTAAGTGTTAAAAGATTGAAGTTCCCTTTTTATCTGGAAAAAAAATAAAGACAAATAAGAAGTTAAAACTTACCCAGACTCTTTTTATACGACGTGGCACCTGAAGGGAAGAACTGTTCATTTTCTTAGGGCTGTACATATCATGAGCCTATTGTCCTCTTTTATACTTAAAAATGAGGAATAGGCAAGATGTCTAGACCTCCTATGGCTTTTCTCCATAATTATCTAACAGCATAGATTTTTCTACTCCAAGCCCTATTTAGAAAGTTTGTTTTAAGACCTAGTGCCAAAAAATTCTAGCAGTAATTTGGATGCTTACTAGACAATATCATTAGTTTTAGTAGTCCAGCTCTGATGTATGATAAATTTTGCCATGCATTCATTCTGTAATCAGGTATCAGAAATGTGAAGCATTGTATAGGGAACAGTACAAAGCCAAGTCTCTTAACTTTCTGCTGAAGGAAAGAAATTTATAATCTAAGTTCTGATATCTTTATTCTATCAGTTTGTTTTCATATTCTGTGGTTTATTTTAGCTGCACTACAGAGTGTTTTTCCTCATTCTGAACTGGGGACATTTCTGACTCTTACTAAAAAGGACAAAGAACGCCAGCTGAAAGAACTCACTATGATTGTTACTGGAATTCGCTTATTTAACAGAGACTGTGGAAAAGGAGGAGAAGGCATTGATGATTGTAAGTGTATCATTAGGTTAATTCTAGGGGTTATGGATGTTTAAAATTCAGCCTGCACAGAGAGGAATATAATACACAATGCATGACTGGCATGCTGAGATTTAAGATTTGTAGTTTTGACTGTTCCTTAGGAAAAACTAGTGTCCATAGTGTGTAGTAATTTTTTTTTACTTTTGCTGAGGCAAGACTTTGAATTTTATGTACCATGAAGTTAGTGTGGGAAAGTGAATCAGTAAAGGAATGTGGTTCCTGCCCAAAGGCTAGCCTCTCCAATTCAGTGGAGATTTGTGTTTACTCCAAATCAACCGAAGAAAGTAAAACTCAGTGATATAAAACCAAACATCATTCTGGAAAGAAAACAGTTGTTGGTGCTGTTAATGGAATGAGAAGGTCCAAAAAGAGATATTTAGGCAAATCTTTAAATTGAGGAACATCTACTGTATTGTTATTACAAAAATAATTCTTTATAAATTTGAATGTGCTTTTGAAATAGTTAATTAAGGACCTACCAGTAGAAGTGATTTCTTATGAATTTGGTATTCCTGCAGGTGATAAGGTGTTGGTGTCTTTTACCAGACCACTGGTCACTAGATATCAGTACTAGCAGCAGAGTATTATTTATTTATTTATTTATTTGCAGAGCTGGGGATTGAACCAAAGGTCTTGTGCATACTAGGCAAGTGTTGTACCTCTGAGCCACATTCTCTAAGTTTTTCCATTTTAAAAATTTTATTTTTAAGCTGTGTTAAAAAGTTCAGTTTCCATTCTTTATAAACTTCCCTCCCTTGATAGACTATTCTGTTTCTTTTCAGCATCCAATGAATTTCTTACAAAAAATGCTTTTGAAATTTGTTTTTACAAATAGAAAAGAAGGTATATAGAAGGATTGATCAGACAGTGGCTTTTCTAGGGACCACATGGTCAACAACACATACTGTTGAAGCCTACCTTTTCTTTAAACTCGTCTGTTTTTAGTGGCACTCTGATAATATCTTTTGTTTGGATAGGTTCTTTTTGTATTCTTCATGCTGTGGGACCCATGAAACACATGGCTTACTGTTATTAAAAACTAACTCCACTCAGTGCTTAAAATATGACTACTTTCTGGGCCTTTTTTTTTTCTTAACTATTATTATTATTTTTACTGGGGATTGTACCCAGAAACACTTTACCACTGAGTTAATCCCTAAACTCTTTTCATTTTAATGTGAGACAGGTCTTACTAAATTGCTGAGGGCCTCACTAAATTGCTGAGCCTTGGCCTTGAATTTGAAATCCTCTTGCCTCAGGCTCCCTAACTCCTGGGATTACAGGCTGAGCCACCATGCCTGGCTCTCTCTTGTTCTTAACCACCCTCATACCTGTCTTTTATATACTTACAAACAGTGCCAGCTATTCTACATGAAGCAATCCCAGCCACCACTCAACATATTGATTCCCAACTTCAGATTGCCCAGGACCAGGTATATCGCTACACAGCCATCCTTGAGAAGGTAACAAAGAACCCACTCATGAGTAAAGAACTCGAGCCATATATGTTAAAGGAGGCATTGTATAACGTACGACAATATGAGATCTTCCTTCAGATCATTTTGGTGAGTTAATTTTACAAGTTCTGGTCTTTATACATAACCTCTTTAGAACCAAGTCACTGGGCTGGGGATGTGGCTCAAGCAGTAGCGCGCTCGCCTGGCGTGCATGCGGCCGGGTTCGATCCTCAGCACCACATACCAACGAAGATGTTGTGCCCGCGGAGAACTAAGAAAAAATAAATAAATGTTAAAATTCTGTCTCTCTCTCTCTGTCCCCCTCTCTCTCTCACTCTCTCTTAAAAAAAAAAAAAAGAACCAAATCACTAATGAAAGGAAGCAAACTCAGTTGCTTCTCAGTTTATATTGCATAGGTAGAGCCAGAAATTAAAATAGAAATGGGAAAGTTGGATTTTGATTTTTATAGTTGTTGATTCTCTTTGGTACTTGATAGTATGATTGTTAACATGGTATGTTTAAGCAATAATATATGTATGTGTAGGAGAGCAATACCATGTTGTTTTATTCAGAAGAAGTGTCTAACATTGTTTGGCAGATAGTTGACACTCAATTTTTGTATAATAATTTGCTGTTCTTATAAAAACTGGTAGAATTTTTTTTTTTTAGTAAAAGAATAGCAAAGTTTATTAGAAGAGATAGAAAAAGGGAATACTCTCAAGGGATAGAATGGATCCCCTCAGAGAGGACTCTAATTTTTTCCATTTTAAAAGCTATTTTAAAAAATTTTGTTCTGATTTTTATAGAGTTCTTTCCCTTGCTAGACTGTTCTGTTACTTTTCAGCATCCAAACGAGTTTCTTAAGAAGAATGCTTTTGAAATTTGTTTTTACAAATAGAAATGAAAATATATAGAAGGATTGATTAGTGACTTTTCTAGAGACCACATATCAATAACACATTACTGTCAAAGTCTACCATTTTTTAAAACATGTGATAGTTATAATCTTTGTGATAGTTAAAATCTTTTTAAAAACAGCAATGCACTTTTTTTTTGGATAGAAACTAACTCAAAATCTTAAAAATATAAAACATATTTATATGAATGAATTGGAAGACCCTTTCACAGAGGAATATGCCAGGCCATCCTGGCCTTCCAGGGAACACAGTTTATTAACTACCCCTGTGTGTCACCAGGAAAAGCAAAGTGCCTGTTTTCCCTTTGCTCTCATACCATAATTAATCAAAGACTTCTCTGTCCTCAAAAGTTGTGGGACTTTATCCCTACTAGCAAGCAAGCAATTCTGCAGTGAATACCAACTGGGTACCTTCCAATTCATTTCGATTCTGAGACTATGCACCTGGAGACAGCATCAGATCCCACAAGTTGAGGGCTCAGTCCCCAAGACTGCCCCCTTCCCCTGCAATTTAGATGACAGTGTAAGTCCCAAATTGTCTTACCCATGCTTCTGACCCACCAGCTATAAATTGGGGTTCCTCAACTTCTTCCTTGGGTTTGATTAATTTGCTCAAGTGGCTCACAGCACTCAGGAAAACTCATTTATTAGTTTTTTTTTTTTTTAAATAAAAGCGATTATAAGGGACACAGATGCCTAGGGTAAGGCATGGGAGAAGGGGCACAGAGCTTCCAGGCCATCTCTGTCTTGGTGTGCCACCCTCTAGGAACCTTCATGTGTTTAGCTATCTGGGAGCTCTTTGAATCCAGTTCTCTTGGGTTTTTATAGAGATTTCATTATGTAGGCGTGATTGCTAATAGATTGGGTGGGGAAACTCAGTGAGGCCTGTATATTTAGATTCTTCTTAGCCTCTCTGTGCAGTGTTCCTTTCTCTAGGGTATGTGACAAAACTCCTGGAATGAGGAAGGTCTTAGTAACAGCTGTCAGACAAGTTAGAGAATTTCTTTATAGCCAGTTCTAAGACAAAAAGGCAAGGGAAGATTAGAATGTCTCTGATCTTCCTTGGGGAAGAGAAATTCTGATTTCTATGGCCTGCTTTGGGGGAGGGAGTTATAAGCCAGGGACTATGGATGTAAGCCAAAATATATATATCATAATGTCACAACTGTATGACAGCAAGCTATATTCCCACTTTACACATCCTCTGCTTTCTAATAACTCTGACACTCAGGGTTAATGGAACTGTCTTTCATATGAGTGAATACTAATTTCTTGAGGGATAGAATAGTATGTGTTTTGGCCCCCTCTTCCTAACTTTATTTTTAATGGCTTAGTACACTTTTGGATGTTCTTGGTCTGTCATCTCTCATTACCTAGCTATACAGTACAAAGAGAAGCATCCTGATGACAAGACTTCATTGCAAGAAACTAGGGGTCCTCACAACTGGCCTATTAATTGCCTTTGGAAAGAAGGACTGTAAATCAGTTATTCAAAATCAAATCATCCTGGGGCTGGGGTTGTGGCTCAGTGATAGAGCGCTTGCCTAACATGTGTGAGGCGCTGGGTTCAAGCCTCAGCACCACATAAAAATAAATAAATAAGTAAGTAAAATAAAGATTAAAAAAAATCAAATCATCCTGATTCACAGATATTCCCTTAACATTGATTTCAGCCTTATGTAACTAGTCAGATACCAACAGGGTTTTTAAATCAATTTGTCTTGAAGTGAAATGTAGGTTCATGGGAGTCAAAATTCACATTCACTTTTATTGTCTATATTTGGAGGGGAGATCCTTGGGAATAAATATTGTGAAGATGTTTCAGAGAATCTTGTTCATTGTGGAGTGTTTTCTCCCAGCTTTTGATCAGGAATCATGTTCAACCTACTAACTTGGTCTTAAATTCTCACTGGAGTTCCACCTCTTGCAGCTTAGAGGGACAGTGAATGGAGCGTACAAGTGACAAGTGTTGGCTCTGCAAGCAGATTGCATGGGCTCCAGTCCTGATGTGCTGCTTGCTAGATCTGCATCCTAAAGAAGTTGCTTAACTTCCCAGTGTCATGGTTTGCATATCTGTAGAATATTCTCCACTATGTAAATAATGTAGGACAGTATATTTACATAGTAATAATTCCATACATTTATGATCATGATGATGATTTCCATCATCATCACTGTTGGGGCCCTAGCAGAAGAGCTCTGATTCCATTTTGGTGGGGGAACAAGCTGAGGAGATGTTATTTTTCCAGACACTATCTCATTTCCAAGCTTCTTGCTGCTCATGTTATTGAGAAGGTTTAGTTTTCTTATTTTAGCACTCTTCATGGCTGTTTAGTACTACTTTAAGTTAGGGTTAGGACAAATTTTCTTAAAACTTTCTGACCCTTTGGTGCTCAAAATGTCTGTTGTTTTGTTTTTGAACTATCAGTCCTTCCCCATCAATCTTTCTTAGTTTTAGTTAATATAGAATGAATATTGGTTTAATCAGCATTATCTCTAGGCTACAAAATATGCCATTTTGTATTTAGCTGAGATTTTTTCATGTCTTGAAACCTATAAATATCCTTTTTCAAAAGTCACATTATCTAAAAGGATATTTGTAAAATTTTTTGAAGTATTGATTTTGATTTTAAAAAATTATTTCTTGCCAAAGCTGCATTCCGTTTACATAAACATTTAAAAAATCCAAGTGTAACTTGGGTAGTGAGTTATTTTATTTTGTTCTGATTTAGTTTTGTATCTGTTGCAGTGAACAAATTCATGTATTCTGGAAAAGAAAAGGCGGGCGGTGGCAGGATGGGCAGCAATCACAGTCTTGCTGACTGTCTTAGCTGAGAGAACAGAATTCCATATTCTGTGGGGTTTTTAAGTGCAAGGCAGTTACCAAAGAAAGAAAGCTGCTTATTGTTATTATGCAAGGAAAAATTGTGTCTGACAGAACATTTCTGAAAACCTGCAAGTCAAGATTTTTGTAGAAGGGCTGGGGATATAGTTCAGTTGGTAGTGTTTGCCTTGCATGCAAAGTACATGCAGGGATTAGGCAACACCCAGCATCTTGATTTTTTTCCAATAATGTAAGTAAAAAATCAGATGGAATGTGTGCTTAATTTATTTTATTGTACATTTAACATGAGMTTTATGCTGTTAACACATTTTAAGAGTTCAGAACAATATTACTAACTATAGGCACTATGGTGGAAGCAGATCCCTAAAGTTTATTCATCTTGCAGAACTGAAACTTCATACCTGTTGATTATTGACTCCATATGTCCCCTTCTCTCTGTCCACTGGAAACCATCATTTTTCTGTCTTTTATGAGTTTGATGAGACTTGTAGGAAAATTGCCCATGGAAGAAAGTATGAGGACTTACAATCAAAAAAAAAAAAAAAAAAAGAAGAAGAAGAAGAAGGAAGAGAGGAGATACAGAAATATGGTGGTGGGATCATATACTTTCCTTAAACATTTGAGTGTGTTATAACAAAAATGAACAAACAAACAGACAAAAGCAAAAAAACTTAAGCAATGGTATCCCTAGAGGACTAACATTACAACTAAAACTCTACTTTTGTAAATAAGTTCTTTTTGGTAAAATATAAATAGAGTTTTTGTCCTAGGCCATTACTGGAAAAAAAAGTCAAAAAGTTATTTGTGCCTGCCTACTCTGTGAATAGACCCTGAAAACATAGCTTGAGTATAGGGAATCTAGAGCATCTTTCATTGTAGGTTTTATAAGTGTTATGTGTCAGATGCAACTTTTACTTTGGAGAACATATGCAGATTTATTTCTGTATATGTGTGTTGTTGGCTTGTTGCACAAATCTAAAAAGCCTTTAAAGATTGCATTTTTACATTTGATTCCAAAAACAACAATAACAAGCATGGTGGGAAAAACTCTGGGGCAGATAAGAGACTTGTTAGATATGATAGAAAATGTTATATGGGAGACTGAACCCAGAGAATGCTTAAATAGCAGTGTGGGTAAAATTAAAGCAAGATGCATGTTCTATTTAAGAACAATAATAATATTTGATAATAATATTTGACATTTCATTTTTGTAATTTAAAATTATCTGTGTAGAATTTAAACTACAGATGTCCAAGGATTCAATATACTTTTTTCAAATAAGTGCCATTCTTTTATACTGTACTGATAAACCCAAACCATTGCTATTTCTGGTCCCATCTTAGGCACTGCAATATAATGGATAAAAGCTGGGCTCTCAGATGGTTTAGGGTAGAAATGTAATTCTACCCCTTATTAGTTATATATACTTGAGAAATTTACTTACCTTTTTTTTCCATTTTTGTTTTTGTTTTTTGGGTACTGGGAATTGAACCAGGGCTGCTTAACCACTGAGTTATATCCCCAGCCTTTTTATTGTATTTTATTTAGACACAGGGTCTTGCCAAGTTGCTTAGGGTCTTGTTAAGTTGCTGAGGCTGGTTCTGAACTCAGGATCCTCCTGTCTCAGACACTCACGCTGTGCCCAGCCTTACTTACCTTTCTATTCTTTGTGCCCCACTGTGCCCAGCCTTACTTACCTTTCTATTCTTTGTGCCCCACTGTGTCCAGCCTTACTTACCTTTCTATTCTTTGTTTTTCCTTATTCATATCTACCTCTTCTTGGCATTTATATATATTTTATATGGTGCTTGCAAATAAAACAAGTGTTTTATAGTTATTTCAAATTTAGCAACTTATTTTCAGACCCTCAATTTCTATAAAAATTTTTCTTTTAATGCTGTGACGTTTAAGAATTTCTGTAATTTATTAGTTCTTGATGTCAAAATAGTTTTCAGAGAAATACTTCATTAATGTTATCACTGGGTAATGGGGAAATAATAGCCGTATAACTATATAAAGTAGATTCATGGGGATCCACTTCTCAGGAATTAGATTTAATATTTTAGTATACCTGTGTACATTTAAGAAAAGTTATATTCATAGTATGTCAAAAGACTCACAAATCCCACAAATATTTCTGGGGCATCGTCCATATGCCAGTGCTATTCTAGTTGTTGAGGATTACCATAGAGAATAGAGCCCCTGTCACTGAGCTTACCCTCAGAGGATGTGGGGAACAGGTGGAGTTAAAACATGTGATTTTTTTAGTGAAATTATAAAAATATTAATGTAAATTATGTTGTCTTCATAGTCAGATATAATTACTTGTGCCCAAGAAGTGGAAATTATGATAAAACAGTTAGGAGCCCAATTGGAACTTTTAAAATCCACTGTAAAATCAAGAACAGCTATCCCAACATCACAAGTCTTTGTAAGTACTTGTCATCAATTTTGACCGTATTAAGGGTAAATTTCTTGAGTACTATAAAATTGGATCAGAAATCCTTATAATTATATTCAGTTATTTAACATAACAGTTTTATATAAGTTGATCCTGTTCTTTATAGTTATTTTATAGTAGTATCTGAGGTATATTGGATGAGAGCATTCTCTATGAGCAATTGCTGCTAAAGGAAATTCAGATCTACAGTGAGATAATATTAGTATTGACTATGATAACAGAAATAATCTGTAGTACTGTGTTGGAAATCTATTCATAGTAGCAGGTCAGAAGTTGCCTCTAGCACAGAGATGATGTAACTTGTGACCTTTCTAAAGAGACAGATAATAATCTCTTTGTTTACCATGAATGCTATTCTATTGACTTTCTGATTCTCTGTACTATTTCTTGAATGAACTCAACAGCCCTTATCTGAACAAGCAGGTAAAAAAAGTTCATGTATATTATATAGACCATTTGAGATTCTTCTACCTTCTGCAGTTCTTTTCAATGTTTGGTTTTAAAAACAGAGAAACAAAAGGCTAAGTTGTTCAGCTTATATGCAGGGCCTGATTGATTTTTCATTTGTTCTGTAAATCAGTAATCTTTACTTTAAATAAAAGACATTTTAGTTTACTGATCAAAATCTTTAATTCAAAATCTTTTGAATTATGATTAGGCCAGATAAATCTACCATAATGAGTCATATTTAACTTTTTTTTTTTAAAAAAAGTATATTTATTTTTCCCTTGACCTTTTTAGATGAAATGTTCATAAAACTTTCTTAGGTCATCAAATGTGTGTGACTCTTTTTGACTAAATTAACTTTATAACCATCATACCAAAATAAAATGCTTTGAAATAAAATGAATTTATTTTCTCGTAATTTGTAAGTCCGGTTTCTTTCTAGTCTATTGTCTAGTTCCCTGAGATTTTTGGTTGACTTAAGGAAGAATTAATTTCTTTACAAATAACATTGTATTTATTTTTAAGAGTACAATGCTTTATAATTTTATCATATAGTTCTATTTTGAACTTTTTTTCTTCTTCTTCTAGCCCATCTTCATTTCACTGGCCAATCTGTGGACTAGCTTTCAGGATGAAACTGTTTTGATTAGCGTCCTCAGTAGTTTAACCAGTCACCTGGAGCCATTTCTGGGTGCTCATGAACTTCTTTTTCCTGACAGAATAATGCAAGGTCTTCTTGATGATGTGACAGTGAAAACAGATGTGTGTAGAATAAAAGAACATATGGGTAATGGAAACCATTATTTTTTTTCTAAAATTATCTCTATAATGAAGTCACTCTTTTGTTTTAAATTTTTCATGTTACATCTTTCTGATAAAGCATTAGACATCTTTCTTAATTATAAAATACTAATGTTCATTATAGACAGTGTGGCAAACAGAATATGTCAACTGGATAGCTTACTAGCTGGCAATAACCACTTCTTATGTAATTATTCTTCATGTTTTGGTTAACAATGATTTTTTGTGTGAATGTGTTTCTATCACAGAATTAGTAGTTTTGTTATTGATATGGAGTAGAAAAAGATATTAATCCTTACTGTATTTGTTGTAAAAAAAGTTTTATTTTTTAAAACATTTGTCAACCAACAATAAAAAAAAATAAATAAAACATTATTTGCTCTATATCTACTTTAGATTCATGTTGAGAATTTATAAATCGATAAATTTTAGTCCTTTAAAGTTAATTGAGCTTAAGCCCTTCAAGAGATGCATTGACTTTGTGAGTATCAAGTTTTTGTCAGGAAAAGAACAATAAGTTAATATTTAAAATGAGTTAATAATGATTTATTTGGAAATTTTAGTCTTCTCACTGGATGAAAACTTTTCCTGTGTTCGTTTTTCATTTTAGAAGATAGAGTACGTTTGACAGACTTCAAAAAACTGGAATGGCTTTTCCCAGAAACAACAGCAAATTTTGAAAAGTTATTAATTCAGTATCGGGGATTTTGTGGTTACACATTTGCTACAACAGATGGTCTTCTCCTTCCAGGTATATTATTGGAAATAATATTGTTTTCCTCTTCCCCAATTTTTTTCTCTGTATGAAAACTTTTTTGCCTCCCTTCTCCCAGCCCATCTTCATTGTACTGGCCAGTTTGTGGACTAGCTTTCAGAATAAACTATTTTGATTAGTGTCCTCAGTAGTTTAACCAGTCACCTGACATTGTCACTGACATATTCATATTTTAAAACGTGATGGAATTAGATGGTGAACTCTAGGAAAGGAGCTGCAAAAATGATCTAGACAATATCTTTGTCTTGGAGGTGCTTAGAGTATAATTTGGTACATTGACATGAACGAGAGACTTTAAATGAAAGTGATAGAATATGTATACAGAATGAGTATTTCTTGCCTGAAATGCTTGGATTTTGGAACATTTGCATACACACACACACACACACACACACACACACACACATATAAAGGGGGATATCTTGAGGATGAGACCCAGCAAAATAGAGAATACATTTGTGTTTCCTATACATCATATACACAGTCTAATATAATCTTAGTGGGCCTGAGTTTTAATTATGACCTGTCATATGAAGTTAGGTATGGAATTTTATACTCATGACATCATGTTGGCATTCAAAAAGTTTCAGATTTTGGAGCATTTCATATTTTAGATTTTCAGATTAGGAATGCTCAATTGTATTATAAAAAGTAGATGCTATGGTACCATAGAAAGGGAATAATTCAATGCCCCACTGAAAGATTACAGAAAGTCATACAAAATTACTAAAAATATATCATCTTCTAAAGAATTACTGACAGAGCAAAACTTAATGACTCATGAATTTATTTAAAAATAGTCTTTGTCATTTTGTAGTTATATTTCATTAACATAGATCACTATTTCCCTCTAAGATCCTACTAAGGAAATGGCTAATCTATTATGTAGATTATTAGAGCTTCTCCAAAATAGAGTAAATGAGACACTGAGATGAAATAAATTATTATCCAAAAAATACTGTATAAATTGACAATAAGAAGCCTGGTAGGGCTACAATGAAAACAGTTTGACAGAATTGTTACTCATCTACACTGTTAACCTCTTCCTTTTATTCTCTTTTCTTTTCCATACTACATTTGTTATGTTTCATAATTGGGTATTGCTCTTTTCTTTATGAAGAATTATTGGAATTGTGTGCATACATGCTAGAAAGGACATACAAGTTGGCTCATTTTTATGGCATTTTTTTTTTTCATAGTGGAAGTGAAAAGGGTTTACCATGGGGACATGAGATAATAGTATTCTGAGGCCCTGTGACAATCAGTGATACTGGGGATAAAATAATTAAGAACTATGCAGAAATAAAAAGCAGTGGAATACAGGTGGTTTCTTTTCCTTCCTTCTTCTATTCATATCTCTCTCCCTTGCTCTATCCCTTCCTTCCTTTGTTCTAGAAGGAAGAGAATGGGGCATAAGAGACGCACACACAGAAACATGGATGTGGGTGGTAATGAAGAGGTAGCATGATGCAGTTGAAATGCTATGAGCTAGGATTCAGGATGATTCAGGTTTCTTGTCCTAATTGTACCATTTATGAACAGGTAACCTTTAGCAAATTTCATGCCTCCTGTGAACTCAGTTTCCCCTTAGGAAAACAGAAAGTATCAAGCAGGAGGTCTGGGGGGGTCTCATCCAGCTCCTAACAACTATGATTCTTTTTTTTTTTTTTAAAGAGAGAGAGAG